GCTAACCCTTAACCTAACGAAAAACCTAACGCTAACCCTTAACCTAACGCTAAACGTAATGCTAACGGTCTAAACCTAACCCTTACCTTTATGTGAATCGGCTTGCTGTAATTTAATTTTTATTTCAATTTTTCGATCTTTTTCGTCGCGCTGTGATGACGTCACATACGCGCTTTCATCGACCGCGCTTTTGTGGAACGCGGTTTTGACGGGTCACGAAAAAAAATGAGCAAAAAATGCTCCCACTGTAAAATCCACGCTTTAGCTTTTATCGAGTTGCTCAATTTTGTCCTGATTTTTTTCCCTCTCCCCGTCTTCCGTAACCGTAGCCGGACATTGCTCGTTTTTCGGATGAAATTATGCCCCTCCTGCTGCGCTACTTGGAGGGGGTTCAGCTGGCCCACACCACCCACCTGGCCAAGGCCTACTACGCTCTGGAGAACTTCGTGGAGAATCTGGGTGAGACCCGAAATCCTCTTCGGCCGGTTCGGTACGGTTCGCACGAACCGGTTGCAGAAATCGTGGGTGGGCCTGCCCACCCGCCCTGCCTCTAAGCCCGTGATGACGAGCCTATGGCATGCGCCCCCCAGGTGGCATGGAGAGCCCTCTCTGTGGCGCACGCAAGCTGTCGCTTCGGCTCAGCTCTACGGCGAATGCATGTGTGCCTCCCGCCAGCCAGCTGATTTTTGGGGTCTTTGCCGCGCACGCGTGGAGGTGGGGTGCATGCGGGAGACGTGTGCGAGGGGGAAGGGGTCATGCACGCATGTGGGGTGGACAGGGGGAGCGCACCCATTTTTGGTCCCAGGAGGCTGCAGGGAGGACTGCTAGGCCCAAAACCGTCCTATTTAGGCCCGTTTTTGAGGCTGCGCGGAAGGGGCGAACAAGTGATAACAATGTGAAGCCCACCACTGGGTGAGACCCCCCCCCGCTGCAACCTTATTTCTAAATAAAGCCATTTTTATGGCCTGCATAGGCAGTCCTCGACTTACAACCATAATTGAGCCCGGAATTACGGTCGTTAAGCAAATCGTCACGTGACCAATACGATTTTATGACTTTTTTCTTTCCTTTTTTTTTTTTTTGCAACGGTCGTTAAGCAAACGGTCATACGTGGGGAACCACCGGTGACATAAATAAAGCTGTGTTCCTCCACTGCAGGGGAGGGGTGGACTTCAACTCCCAGAATCCTTCAGTGCTGGCTGGGGAATTCTGGGAGTTGAAGTCCGCCTTCTCTTAAAGTGACAGAAACACAATAAAATGTGGCTTTGAGAGCTGTGTCTCTCAACTGTACAAGTGGACCCCGGCTTATGACCACAATTGAGCCCAGAATTTAGGTTGCTAAGCGAGACGTTGGTGAAGTGAGTTTGGCCGCCATTTTATGACTCTTCTCGTCCCGAACTGCTGTGGCTGTTAAAATTAGTCCGACGGCCGTTAAGCGGATCCGGCTTCCCCGTTGACTTTGCTGGACAGAAGGGGGATCGCGTGACTCTGCGACCGTCATAAATGCGAGTCGCCGGACAAGCCCATCCGATTGTAAATCCCTGTGAAATGTGGGGATGCTTCAAACGGTCATTAAGTGTGGAAAACAGCCCTAACTCCCTTTTTTCTCACTAAACGAACGGTCGTAAGTCGAGAACTAGCTGTATTATGACACGGGAACTGAATTGTGAACAAATTTCTCTCTGCGTTCAACAGAAGATAAGATTGAACCCTACCTGCCAGCTTTGATGGAGAGGATGCTCAACACCTTGACCTCCCCTGGAAGTCCCCGCACCAAGGAGCTGGCGGTTAGCGCCATCGGAGCCATTGGTAAGCCGATCGGCTGACACACACACAGAGCCAAATGTCACACAACCTGAGAGAGGAACTGGCCCACCTTTCACGCCTGAGACAGGACTAGAACTCCCTGCCTCCTGGTGATTGGCCCCAAGTCACCCAGCCGGCTTTCATGTATAAGGTGGGACTAGAACTCCCCGTCTCCTGGTGATTGGCCCAAAGTCACCCAGCTGGCTTTCATGTATAAGGTGGGACTAGAACTCTCTGTCTCCTNCCCCCCTCCAAATCTTCCAGGTCCAGGCAAGTGAAGCGATGGAAGTTTTTGACGAACTCCTGGAGACCGAAGTTGCCATCGTGGTCCAGCATCTCTCGGAAGTCGTGAACTTCTGTCTGGAGGTGACCGGGATGGGTGGGATGGTCCCATCCCATCCCAGCCCCCTGGAGCCCCCTACTCCCTTTCTTCCCCCCTGTTCTCATCCCCTGGTGGCCATTTCTCTTTCCTATACATCCTCCCCACTGCTCACGATGCCCCCTGCTGGCCACTCCTCTTTGGTGTCACCAGCTCCACCCTGCTGGCCACGCCTTTTTCCTGACACTTATTCCACACACACACGCACCCAGGTGCCCCCTGCTGGCTGCGCCTCTTCCCTGCCCCCTGCTTCAGTCCCCTACAACTCCCCCTGCTGGCCATGCCTTTTTCCTGCCATCTGCTCCACCCTCCTGGCGTGGCCAGCAGGGGGCACTAGGGGATTCTGCTATCTTTCCATTGGAGAAATTGTCCATTGTCACCTGCTCCAGCTCCCACAGCTCCCCCTGCTGGTCATGCCTCTTTACTGATCCTTAGTCCACCCTCCTGGCGCTCCCTGCTGGCCATGCCTCTTTTCTGTCACCTGCTTCAGCATCCATGGCTCCCCCTCCTGGCTGTGCCTCTTTACTTACTCCATCTTCCTGGCGCCCTCTGCTGGCAATGCCTCTTTTCTGTCACCTGCTCCAGCTCCCCCGGCTCCCCCTGCTGGCCATGCCTCTTTACTGACATCTGCTTCAGTCCCCTACATCTCCCCCTGCTGGCCACGCCTTTTTTCTGCCATCTGCTCCACCCTCCTGGCATGGCTAGTATGGGGCGACTAGGGGATTCTACCCTCTTTCTATTGCAGAAATTTCCTGTCACCTGCTCCAGCTCCCACAGCTCCCCCTGCTGGCCATGTCTCTTTCCTGACACAGTACTCCATCATCCTTGCAGCCCCGGTTGGCCATGTCTCTTTCCTTACACTTGCTCCACTCTCCTGGCGCCCTCTGCTGGCCACGCCTTTTTCCTGCCATCTGCTCCACCCTCCTGCTGGCTGTGCCTCTTTCCTGCCCCCTGCTCCATCCTCCTGGCGTGGCCAGCATGGGGCACTAGGGGATTCTGCCGTCTTTCCATTGCAGAAATTTCCTGTCACCTGCTCCAGCTCCCCCTGCTGGTCATGCCTCTTTACTGACTCTTGCTCCACCTTCCTGGCGCCCTCTGCTGGCAGTGTCTCTTTTCTGTCACCTGCTCCAGCTCCCACGACTCCCCCTGCTGGCCATGTCTCTTTCCTGACACAGTACTCCACTCTCCTGGCGCCCTCTGCTGGCCACGCCTCTTTCCTGCCACCTGCTCCATGGTGCCCCCTGTTAGCTGGAGAGAGATCCGCCCACCCCTGATTCCATCTTTTTCCACAGGTGGCCTCCAACCAGCAGCTGAGCGACGGCCTGCGGGTGAAGGCCCTCTCCTGCGTCAGCTACCTCATCAAGCTGAAGAGCAAGGTCAGGGATGCCGCCCCGGATTTCCCTCCCTCCCCCCCCTTCCTGGGTGGCATCTTGCCCCTCTCCTCCTCTGCCACAGGGCACTCACCCCTCCCACTTCTCATCTCCCCCCTCAACCAGGCCATCCTGAAGCACAAGCTCCTCTCGCCCATCCTGAGCGCCCTCTTCCCCATCATGAGTGCAGAGCCTCCCCCGGGACAGATGGATACGGAGGACGAGTTGACGGAAGAGGAAATCGAAGACCACGCAGAAGTCCAGACGCCCAAACACTTCGCGGTCCAGGTCTGGCTTTTTTGGGGGGGGGGGGAGCAGCAATCTCTCAATTTCAACTCTCCTCACTTCCCGGGATGCTCCGGGATTCGTGGGCCCGGCCTTCTCCCTCCCAGAATCCCCTGTGTTCGTGCCCAGCTGCTTTCTAGGCACCCTGCCTCTGGATCCACAACTCTCAGCATGCCCCATGCTCAGTGGTAGGATCCTGCCAGTTTAACAACCGGTTTGGTGATGCATGTTTTGGAAGTGCGCACCTTACGCACGTTCTGTTCGCATGCGCGGTTTTAACAAAACTTACCTTCCACGTTACTTCTGGGAGAGTAGCACAGCTGAGGTGCAGGAATCAGCTGAGATGATATAGGTAAGTAAAACACAGGGCCAGATAGGAGGGCCAAACTGATCATTGGAGCAAACCGGTGCACTTCCCAGCTGATTGTTGGAACAAACCAATTCGCTTCCCAGCTGATTGTTGGAACAAACCAATTCGCTTCGCAGCTGATTGTTGGAACAAACCAATTCGCTTCGCAGCTGATTGTTGGAACAAACCAATTCGCTTCA